CAATTTCTGTATGGTTTTATATCATAAATATAATGCTCAAATGAAGAGTTATCAATATCGTAAGTTCCAAAAAGCATTATTTGTAAGATATTACCGAATCTACATTTCATGTTAATAAAGGGAGGTAATTAGAAATTTATTTTTAATTAAAGTCTAAGTCAAATTTTGCAATAAGAAATGATAGCATATATGTTAATGATTACATATAATGTGGACAAATATTTGCAGTACATATTTTACATATTCTTCGATGTTTGAAAATTGTTTTAGAAGATAAATAAAATTTCACTTCAATGTGGTAACACAGCTACAGAAACTTAAATCAGACTTACCAATAAACGAAACGAATGTATGTTTATTATTATTATTATTATTATTATTATTATTATTATTATTATTATTATTATTATTATTATTATCATCATCATCATCATCATCATTATCATCATCATCATCATCATCATCATCATCATCATCAATTTATTAGTCATCGTCATCATCATCATCATCATCATCATCAATTTATTAGTACGTATGTTGTGAGGAGAAAGGACATAATGTTTAAGGGGTGTGAACTACGAGAATCGTCTCATGAGAGAATGCCGAACTTAAATTCATTTTCTCTCTTTGCAAGTAAATTGTCTCTTTTTCTGGGTTAGTTCTATTACTGATATTTAAGATTAAACATAAATGCAGTAAATATAACGAACCTATACGTACTCGTAATTAAAGTAAGCAAATTAACATAACATAACAAACAAGACGTTACGTCATTTGATATTACAGTAAACGTCAGTTTTATTCTGAAGAAGACTTTATGTCGAAAGCCTAGATTTCATTGAACAGATTGAATTTAATGAACCTGGTTTGGAGTAATGTGATGTCTGGGAAAGAGTTTCATAAGAGATTTAGGACCCGTTTTCTTGCCATTATTTAGAGAAAAAATATGATAAGATAAGTTAAAAAAACAGTCTAAGAGAGATGGCTCTTTTAGATAAGTTATTTTATTCATACAAAGATACATAAAAAACATGCTATATTTAGTTCAACGAAAGCGTATTACATGTATAACCTTTCTGAAAAATTGTAGTGAAATATTTACGAACATTTCCCCCTCGATAACCCCCACCCCCGAGTCCAAAAATATTAATAGACACCTGTCCCCATCATCCTCGGCGTGCAGTTTATTAAAGAAGGCGTTGAAGGTAAAGGAGAGGGTCATTGTCAAATGTCTATTGTTAATTTCATCTGGCCGCAAATACCCAATGATTCATTTTTGGACTGGAGGCAAATATTGCGGATTCACTGTGAAACGGTGGAATGAATTTCATATACATGTATGTACCATGAGTGAGGCTGGCCTTTTCTGACAAAGTTCTATACAATATGATCTTGATATTTGTACACCCCAAAATTAACAATGGAAAGTTCCGAGACAATCCGTGCAAAAACGGGAAATGGCTTAAATAAACGAGATATCACAGATGTTTTGTTTAAGTTGGGTTTTTGTTATTGTTGTTTTTAATGAAAAATTTAAAGCACGTATTATACATGTGCCGTCGTATTGAAGGAATGACACTAAAAATGTTATCTGGTCAGGTGCGTATTATTCCATCTTAAAAATGGTATTCTTTGCAATTTCATGATAAATACATAATCGCATTATAGAATTGTAGTAAGTATTATTACACATACAATAGATTGAAAATTAACAAAAATCTGAGATTTTTTGGTTTTACAAGAGCCCTCCCATAATTTGATCGACCATGAATGGTAGGTCCCACCTGTTGAGACTTAAAGGGATTACTGGATTTCTAATCTTAGATAAGTACAATAACAAACCGGGCCAAATAAAGATGACAAATAAAGCTGTCAATATTTATAAGGGTTTACATGTATACAGTTATTAGGACATCTTTATTTGAATGTCTAATTATGTGTTATGTCATGGGAATTTAAATTACCGTGCACCTGGGTCAATATAAAATTTCTAGTTGAACAAATTAGTGTTCTTTTCAAGTTAGGCTGCTATTTTTACACCTGAAAATATGGCATGTTCATTCAAAAAGCTTAAATTTGTTACCGGGGGTTATTCTGTACATTCCACTAGAAAACATAGATTATAACAGAACAGAATAGAGCAGACACTGTAATTGTACATGAAATATACATGTCACTTGGTCATGATTAAGTACACACAGAACAGATCTCTTCATAAACAAGGAAGTAATCGTGTGGTCCATGTTCAATCTGAGACATAATATAATTAAACTAAAATAATATAAATTTAAAGATGCAATACAGAAAATTTTTTCAAATCTTCACTGTACAAGTAAATATTTAGCATGCTGCTATATACGTAAACATGCTATAACCCCTAACCCCTCTGGACGGAACCATTCATCCGTATGTACTGACAGAATATCGAACAGTGCAGACCATGATCAGATGCGGTTATTTTTATTTCATCCTTTTTACGTTGCCAATATTCACGGGTGAACAAATTGACAATTGACAAATATGAAGTTTAAGTATCAAATATTAAGGGTTAAATATGAACGGAATGGTCGGGTATACTTTACGGTATGTAATTCAGGAAGATTTGTAATGATGCTACCCGGATTTTTTTTAACAATGACACAGGACTAATGTTGGTCCGTAAACGATTTGATAAAGTGTTACTTTTTCCGTCATGTGGTATGTACTCTGGAAAAAGAGAAGCGCTTAGACAATGCTTTAACAACATGTGTTCTGTATAGCGTTCGTTCAGTGGCCCACTTTTTATATATTATCACACGCAATATACAAATGGAATGAAAGCTGTCGCAGACTAATACTTATTACTAATTCATCACACTTTACCAAAGGAAACAATGCTAACAAAATCAATCACTCGTTAATAGTATCGATTTTGATGCGAATGTTGCCTTCTGCTGCAACAGCAGAACATGTGCCTAGTGACCACCTGTCATGCGCAATGGTCAGCTTGAGTACGCGCTGCCAGGAATATGTTTCTGTTTTATCACGTGTCAGAAATTGACCAATGCATCTTTGGCATATGTCTGGTTTTCCTCACAGATGTTCAGCATGGTGGTATCCTTGATAATCTTGGCACCCTTGACACTTACGACGTGAACAATGACATCGGGGCTAAATCCTGTACAGTTTTATAGGCTTGTGAAATAATAGACAAAATATACTAGTCTTGAAGCATTTTTTTACTTTTTTAAATATATTTTAAAATGAGCAGGAAATTATGTGATTGTTCAGAAAAACGCTACATGTGCAGTATAATTTATATGGTATGAAGGTGGCATTTCGATTTTTTGCAAGGGAGGCTACTCTTCATACCTTGCCAAAATTTTATAGAAAATGTTGGTCGTCAAAATGTCCGTTTTTTACTTTTTGTTAAATCATTTAATGACATTTATAAACCTGAACTTCATGGGTCGGGGGCTTTTGTTGTCTTTGAGTTTCCATACATTATACTTCCCTCCCCGCCTCATCTATCTTTTCTTTTCTTTTTTTTAAATAATAAATTAAAAATTCGTAGGTAGGAGTAATTAAAATTGCGTTCTTATTTAATACTTTTCACCGACAATACTACCTTGTTATAATAATATTTTCAGTTTACATTTATTTGTTCCGCATGTGGTACTATAGCGCCGTCCAAAAACATGAAAAAATAGCCAATACCGGATATAAATGATGATTCAAAAACAATGTTGCACTGTTGTCAACAAAATCCAGATGTTAACAATTAATTTTGAAAGTGGACTCTTGTTTCAGCGTTACTCATACAAAGTAATGTTAAATGCCCATTATGACCCTGAACTGCTTTAGATTTTATTTCTTAAAAGTTTTTCATATTTTTGTGTCCTGTTACAGTTTCAGAAACGTTACTCATTGACCATGCACTTGAAACATCTGCTTCTTTTGCTCTTAATCAGTATAGTTATAGTGATATAAGTGTTTGACTATTTTTCAAATTTTCATCTTGATATTCCACATAATTGAGCCGCGTCACGACAAAACCAAAATGGTGGGTTTGCGACCAGCATGGATCCAGACCAGCCTGTGCATCCGCGCAGTCTGATCAGGATCCATGCTGTTTTTTAACAAACCCTATTACAAATAGAGAAACTGATAGCGAACAGCATGGATCCTGATCAGACTGCGCGGATGCGCAGGCTGGTCTGGATCCATGCTGGTCGCAAACGCACTATGTTGGTTTTGTCGTGACGCGGCTCATATTGATTTGAGCAGTTACAAATTGGAAGCTGGACAAGTTATCGATCTAAGAATCTTCATTTACTATAAGAAATCAAGTAATAAGCTTGCTATAATCGGGCATGGCCACAAGGTTATACAACTTTTCATGAGTCCTGCCTTGAATCTTAGGATATTTATTCGTTAGTATAAATGATTCGTCTGTATCTGACCAATCAAATACCCCAGATCTAAGTTTTGGGTTGAGATAATTTGGCTTATTACATCTACCACTGATGTGGATTTATACTCGTTTAATATTGTTGATTAATATAGTTAAAACTTATAACTTTAACAGCTGTTATATTTCAGCATTTGTTATGACGGATACCAGTGAAATCTCCCTCGTACATAATTATCATCAAAATGGACTGATTTACCATCAAAGCAATAATATAATCGAAGTAATTTTAATTACTTGATAGATTCGTTGATGTGTTATTCTTTCCTCAACCATATCTACTTTTCTCCCCAAATTATAGATGTAGTAAATGATTTCATAGTATAGTGTTTAGATATTTTGGCAATACATGGATATTAAGGGACCTGTATTTTGCTATAAAATTGGAAGAATCATTTAGTAAAAGTTTAAAAATTTAGTTGACGTTTGTACAAACTGTTAATCTATTATCGGTTGTATCTATATTCTAATATTGGAACGAATTTAAGTTGGAAATCTGTAAAACAAGCTAGGCTTATGGGTGGATTATCAGGATAGAACAAAAAACATGTAATTTTCTATTTTTTATTATAAAGAACTGTAAAAAAGATTAACAAAACAATAAACTTTAGAACAAAATAACGTGCACTATATATCAACTAGGCTGCTAATTAACAGTGTCTAATGTTAAACACCTTCTAGCATCTATTTAGGGGACTCCAAACGGACCTGCGCCGAGTCCTAGCATGTAACTCATTTCACTAAATTAACTTTCCATTAAAACCGGAATGTATTTCATGATTGCTAATGTTTTGAGATAAAACGTAACATTTTATTCCTGTTGTTTCGATTATGATATAATTTGTCCTTAATTGTCTGGTTATAATTCTGTTAGCTGGATTAATTAGCATCACTGGCATAGATATACTACATTCCTTGGTGAATCAACGAACAAGTTATAACTCCCATGTAACGTTTCAATCTATAGTACAATAGCGTAACGTATATTACAGAGTTTGTTGGTAACGTATTAACAACAGATATATAGCTTTAATAAAGCTAAGTCCCTGAAAAGAGTGTCCATGGATTTACATAAACGTAACTCTCAAAGTTGTAAACACCATGATATCTTCGTCACAGAAGTTGTACCAAAAAGGCAGCATCTTGTAATCTCCGTAACATTAAACTCCACGTTACTGTAGACCCTTGGAGAAGAACCAAGTTGAAAGGCCCTTTTCTGGTGAGGATCACTTTACAACATCCTGAAATAACAAATGGTAAAAAAAAATAAGTAAAATATTTCGTGAATATGATATTTCAATATATTATTTATTTATTGTTGTTCTCCACCAATATTTATTGGGAATGACATTTTATCTATACAAAATGTTAATTTATTAACGCAATAAAACGTTCGTAATCGATAACCACCTGATGGGCATCAAATTAGTGTCAGTATATATTTACTGTCAGGTACTCGAGTTACAAACCGTACCTAATCAGGGATGACAGAGTGTACTGCTATACAAAAGAAAGATGATTTTCGACGTGATAAAAGTGTACATTACAATTAAGAACACCTGTATGAAATACATAAACGCTACACAGGTTCTTTGCAGACGCACTGGCGCCGTGATGGAATGAAAAATATTTACAATCAGATACCTATGGTTTCTTGAAAATAAATCGAAAACGCCTAGTCAGATTTTAATTTTATACAATATTCTCTTTCACAAAATTTTAGATGAAGCGATATCATGATATTTTATCAAGACTTACCAAAATTTAAAAACTCTTGAGCGGAGTCTTGGCATGTGTTTATTTGGATACTGGTCTCTCTATCTCGCAGTCGGAGTCTTCCATACTGACAATATTCTGAAGAAAATAAATGATAAAAATATTAAATAAGATGAATAATGAATTTTAATAAAAGAATATACATTTGTATAGTTAATTTCCTTCTCTGAAATTCTTAATTAGAAGTAAATCATAAAAATAAATGTGCTTAATAATTAATTAATTCAATTATGTACTATTTCAAAGCTGATTTATTCTATAAAAATCCAAATGACAGTAAGCATTGATCTGAAAGTAAAAAAAAAAGTAGAGTTCGAAACTTACCTCAGTCTGGTTTTGCGCCACCTTTTCCATCAATGGTTCTCTTGGCGTTGAATTAAAGACAACAGGTTGGAAATCTAGTGATAGTTCCAAGTCGTAGATGTAGTCAATTACATGCTGGAGAAGCTGGGTCTTGGAGATTTTCTTGTCGTCGGGAATACTGGGTACGAGCTCCTTTAACTTCATAAAGCAAGCAGCCATCTCCCCGTCGTCCAGCTTTGGCTTATTAATCCTGAACATATCTCCCTTCAAACCGATTTCTGTGTTTCTGGTAAGTCCTTGTGTAACAGCCTTCATTTTTATTAAGTTGTTAACTGGTTAATATCCAAGTGAAATAGAATATATAATATTTTTCTCGTTAGAGCAAGTGTATCTCTGAACAGTCTAGCTAGTTCTGATACTACAACAAGAGCGTGTGAATATTTTATAGGAAACAGATAGTAAATATCGGAGTGAGCGAAGCTCCGCCTACTAGCGCGATCGTGAGTGGTTATCAACTAATGTCTGACACCTATCTGAAAATGTCGCCCAATCAGATTGGAGTAAAGTTAATTTTGATTTGTCGCTTACCCCACCTATCAATAATTCAATTAAATCCTTATCGCGGTAATTATCGATTATGTCATGAACCATTGGCATGTTTAGTGAAATACAGAATAAGCGTGGTTTCAATGTCTGTCACCTTTCACTTATTTTGACATGCTTGCTTTCCTGTTATGTTCAATAACGCAATATAGAAATAACATTATAATAATATATATTCCATACATTAAATCAACAGACAAATTGTTTTAAAGGCTATTTGTCCGATTTTTTTATTCCTTAAGCTGTTGTTTTCCTGTGATTGTTAAAAAAATGAACATTTTATGCTTGTTACATATAAGAAATACTTTTTAAGAAACATGTTTAACAATGGTCGGTTAAAAGTCTTTTTTTCTTCATTTTGTTGTTTTTCCTTTTTTATGGCCACACAAATCAAAAGCATTATCGTGTGTTATATTTAACAACATATTTTTCTCATACATATTTAGTTTTATGCATAATATATCAAGTCTGTATAAGTATAGGGCATTCCGAACACCTGCATACTAAAGAAACAACTACTTCATAATTCCTATACAAAATCCTCAGCTGAGCCTCAGACAGTACGGCGCCGAGATTTGTGACGTCACCCATTCATTAAAACATATACTCTGTCTAACTGGGCGCCTTACGGGCGGTCGCTACAGTTACCGACCTGTCAATCAAATACTACTTCAAAGACGCCGCGCTCAAGCACTTGATAAATTGCATTAAAATTCGTCACCTCTCGCCTATTGATACTTCACACTTTATACACCTGTGTAACAGTATAATTCATTTTAAGTTTTGTGAACATGTTTTACGATGTAGTCGGCGCCGACCGTCTTATAAGATTAACTTAAGTAAATACATGTCTTGGGAACGATTTCCTTATATTGGTATGCGCATTCCTGTACACAAGTTAAATGTCCTGTCATTGAATGTGCAATGCACCATTAACAAACAACTCTGACAGTTTGATGACAAATTTTCTTCCGCTGAATAAGGACACTTAGTCAATCACCAACTTTAAAATCATCGTTATGCTAATTGTAGCCTTAACAAAACAAAAACAAAATGTTCACAAAAGGGGAAATTAAGATATTAATTTATGATAATTATATTGAAAATGAGCAATGATTGTATTATGATATGTAAAATGTTCTGTTCACATGGTTCAGGAGAAAGTGACGGCCAGTAAGTGAGCGAATTCATTCCCACCCCCGACAGCTACGCCCACAACTCTAACATCATTACAAAAAGTGACTAACGAAAAGTTGCTACTGTCTCAAAATGGTTGCAAGAGGAATTTATTTATTTGATTGTTAAATAAATAGTATGAAACTGAAAAATGACGTGTTGCAATTATGGGCAGTTTCGAAATACCACCTGTTTTTATTTTGTACAGACAAGTACCTACTCAACGATATTTTGAATAATTATTCCTGTTGTCTAATACAAAAGGAAAAGAAAGGCGTTCATTATTTATTCGAAACTTAAATAAATTCCTACAGGTGTTAGAAATACACACTCCTTTTGGAAATTAGATAAGTCTATAAATTAAGCATTAACAGTAGTGTTTAAGGATAATATGGACGCGTTTGAAAAATGAAGATTAAAGTATTTATCAACTAATCGTCGTATTTTAGGATTTTTTTTTAATGTTTATGAGATGTTGGTTGTTTTTTTTTTATTTGATAGAATATCTCCGGTTTTTGGCGCGCTGTTAGTATTTTTTCTGACGGAAAGACAAACAATGAAAATAAAGTCCGACGTTGTATTTAATTGATTTTTATCTCAACTTTTAATTCTTTATTTCTATATTTTTGCAATGTGAAGAAGGACACAAATGTACGAATACCCAAAATATAGTTTTGCTTTTTTGTGTGTGACTTTGCTATTTATATCTTCAGTTATAGGGTGAGGACGTTGCCGCTCCTCAACCACGTGCGGGTCGTGCAGCTGATTCGCGTTTTACATTTTTTTTTATTTTTGAAAAACATTTTTGCGCCAATTAGATGTTATAATCATGTACTTTTCTATATCAGGTGACAGATGATAGTTTGTAACGTGCGCTTTGATTTTTGTTCTTCCTTCAGCAATACTTCCGGTTCAATACCCCGAGCATTAGTTCAACCCGATATGGGCCTTAACATCTTACATCATTATTATTACATCTATGTTCAGAAAAATAAAAAGTAACAAGTGGGAATGTTAGCACAATACAATATATATTTAATGCGATACGTTTTAAGCAAAAACTCCAGTTACGGGTATGTTACCGCGCCAGGAATGGAAAGCATCTGTGCTTGCAAAAATAGGGGGTAAGGGACAAAGGCAAAGGGGGGACAGCTGAGCCACACATGTTACAGATGGGACTGGTGTAACGAACACAGATTGTATATTGATCATAAAGCCTGGTGCCATACGCCTTAATACGTTGGGGTTATTGGATGAAATTGGTCAACATATGGGGGATTGCGTGCCATATTGCCCAGGAAGAATATTTTGGCTGACAATTTTAAAATGACAGGTTTATGTCAGTGTTTGAACCAAACTCAAAACCCGGATTGTTACTCATTTCAAAAGAAGAAAAAATGCTACAACCTTCTGAAAGACAGTGTTTATATTCCCATGAAACATTTTTCTTTCAGATTAGGATAGAAAGGTAAACGTATTGCTATCATTTGTTTAGGTGGTCCAAATTAATTCTGTTTGGACAAGGTATTTACTTACCAAATCCTGGAAAAGCTTGAAAGACAAATACTAATGTCTATTGCACTTCGCCGTGGGCAAATAATAATTAACATTGTAAACATAATGGTCAGTGCAGGTGCACAATTTGACCAGTCCAGTGGAGCGGTCCGTGAGAGTTTTCCCACGGCATTTTGTCGACGTTTTATTCGTTTTTGTCACTTATTATTAGGCCGATAAAACATTTGTTTCCTGATCACGAATGAAATCTTTGATACATGTATATGAACCTAAATATTTGTAAAGTTCTTACGACAATGTTGCCCAGACCATTGCCAGGGTGAAATAAGTCTTATAAGCCCATGATGACATGATATAGATAACAAATAGTGTACATGTTAATGTGCTACAAGTCGTTCATTTGTACCTTTAATCTACTGGATAATTTATAGAAATGATCCGTAAGGTTGTGTATAACAGTAAAAAAAATATTTTTGATTTATCATCACAATTACATACGTATAAAACAATTTAACAATCTAATATAACGTGAATCTTGGTAAATTAAATACGCCATCTCTTATCAAAATATATCTATAATATTATTTAGAGAATAAACCATAATTAATTGAATAATTATGTTACTGTAGTTCTAAAAGAAAGCCCAAATGTTATGAATATGAGTTTTCTGCTGAAAGCCATTTTCTTGTTGAAACTCGGAGAAAGAGAAAGCGTTATGACACTTAAATGTGCATACTATTTAAAGTATAATAAAAATTTTAAAAAAGATAGAAATTCGTTGATACAGATAGTGTATTCTTAGCCTTATCGTGATTCTGCTGACTTTCATCTCCGATCTTAGACCATTTAATAGTTTGACAAATACCAAAACAAGTAATTAAAAACAATTATTATGGAAACGGAATTTAATTTATGATTTTATCAGACTGGAAATCAGATGGCGTAATATCTGATTATACAGGTACCTATAATTGTTTGCCTGCGGAAAAAGGAAAGTAATTATCAATTTGAAAATGCATTGGCGCTATATTTACAGATCTTAAGAAAGATTTGTGCAAATGTTTTGACATGACAGTATATATTTATGTCCAAATTTAATCAATAAACACAATCAAATTACAAGAGAAAATTTTATGACCATAAGAACGGCCAATTTTGTCGGCACACCTGTGGAATTTGACCAGCGATTGTTATCGACAGCGTTCTTATTGTCTGGTCTGAACAAGAATATTAATGTCAATAAATGTCAGTTTTCTAATTAATATCCTTATTTTAATAAATGCGAGTTACTACTGTAGCGTGACGGTCAATCGGATTGCCTAATGTTACTTATCTTTGTACTCTGTTTTTATCAGTGAAAAAGAAAGAAAAATATTATATTAAATGAAAAAGGGTTTAAAGTCTTCTGTTGTGTGATTTATTTCTGATCATTTGTTACTGTGATATACCACGTGCAAATAGTTAATTAACATTACAGACTACTTTGGTCAAACAGTCGGAAGAATGATCGAACCTCGCACTACTGTGATGATTAATTAACCTTCTTTTTGAAATGCCTTCCACTACCCCCAACTACCGGGACAAGTCATGACCATAAATGGTCAAATATAACTCCTGAAACAAATGTCGTCTGCCGAGTAAGGTCGAAATCCTTTAACGACTATAGGAAACATTTGTTTACCCTACAGATAACGAACTGAAGTGTTTCGATTCATTATACCCCAAAATTTCAAGAATTTATTGTCATTAGAGACAGAAATTCCCATGATTAATATTTTCCGTCTGTTTACCACCATCTGGGACACTTATATCAATAACAAAGAACAATTAAACATACCACTTATGTCATTGAAAATTTCACAATTGTTAGTGTGTTGTACTGTCATGATTTAGTAAGATTTCTCCAAATATACTTCTGTAACAAGGGCCGTGCACTTGAAGATGTACCGAGATACTTAAGACTCGTTTATTTCACACTGTTAACCGCTTTAGATAATCATTATATCAAATAACAGATGTTGAAAAGAAAACTGACCAAAGTCATCTTGCTATATCAACGATCGAAAGTGACTGATGTCATTTCCTCTTCAGTGTGAAATTTTCGTTAAGTTAAACATTCAACTATGACCTTATATACA